TTTATGTTTCCTCTAGAAAAATGCCTGTCTCTACTATTGGGGCAGTTGAGGAGTAAAGCTGCTGACTTGGCCAAAGCTTTACTCAAATCACTGGGATGCAATTACATGTCTGAGAAAGGATGTCTCATTATTTTCTGTGAATTCAGAATGCCACCCAAAGCCTGCTAGAAAAAGAAGACCCAGATTATGCAACACTTAACATTACTAATAATAATAAAAAAGTCTAACCAAAACTCAGACAAAAATGTAAGTAAAATGAAACAGATTCTCCATAACCATGAGTAAGATGTCTCAATATGGTCAAAAAGTCAGATCTTTTGAACTTGCTCTATATACTGATCAATCTTCGAAATCTCTGATCAAAATCTCTGATTCTAATGTTTATATCATGATCATGATCATCCTGTTGTTCGTCGATTTCCTAGAGCAGGCACCAGTAACGTCTCCTTCTTCCTAGCCCTGAGATTTTAAAAGAGCCATTTCAATGCTCTTTCAGGATTAGGAGAATGAGACCCATTATTGTTACTGGTATTTGGCATATTGAGTATGACACGGGAAGTTTGCCAGACTCGCCGTGGGGGCAGGATACTTTTGGTAGCCTGCCAGGTTCTCCAAAGGAAAAATAAGATGTCGCGCAGCCACGAATGCTGCTGCGTGCTTCCGGGAGCTGGGTTTTATAGTCTCTGTGTCTTGGCCGTTGATGGGACCAACCTGGCACTGGTGGTAGCTGGTGGGTGTGACACCTACCTACTGGAAGATGGGGGGGGGGTCTGGGTGGAGAAGCCCAGTCCCAATCCGAGTAGGCTTGGAGACCTCAGCCCCGGGACCAGCATGCCTGGGTTCTTCTGCCAGTTCTTCCATGCATGAGGCCCATCCGGACGTGTGGAGAGTGGTCCCAGCATGGCCCTGGCTGGCTCTGGAGGTCCTCAGCTGCTGAGGCTCTGCTCAGGGCACGGGGGGGAGAGAAATTCAACCGTCCCCCCTCCAAGGGGCCCTGGTGAGGACAGCCAGGTGCGGGGGCAGGAGATTCTGTTTATATATAGAGATATGTTTATATAGAGAGATAAAAAGCATTATAGTCAACAAAATGCTAAAAGAAAAGAATAAAGTTGGAAGATTGATATTAGTTGATTTCAGGACAAACAGCAAAGCTGTATTAAGGCATTATAGTATTGGCTAAATAAGAGACAACTAGCTCAACTGAACAGAATAGAAAGCATACAAGTACCCATATATAAATATAGACAACTGATCTTTGTTAAAGGCATGACAATATACAGAGCAAGTTAACAAATGATGTTAGAATAGCTACCTAACAAATTAAGTTTTTAACAAATGATGCTAGAACAACCACATATTAAATTATGAATCTAACACAGATGTGATACCTCTACAAAAACTAATAAAAAATGGATCCTGAATGCAAATATAAGATTTTAAAATTATTAAAATTCCTAGAAGACAAAACAGGAGAAAAAGGAAATAATCTTTGGTTTGGCTATGGTCTTTTAAGTGTAACTCCAATATGATCCATAAAAGGAATAATTAATAGAAAACTATTATTAAAATATATAAAAATTATAAAAATCAGTAGTTAAAAGTGAACAACTTAGATACACATGGATACACATGGATGAAAGACCTGATCAGAAACTTCATCAGACAAGATAAGAAATGGCAACTACAAATATGAAAAGATGCCTTACAATAAAGTTCACAGTAGGATGCAAACTAAAAGACTGAGGCACAGATGTTTGAAATGGTAGAAGTCCAAAAGACTGGTAAGAAATGTGGAGCAGCAGGAATGCTCGTGTATCATTGGTGAGACTGCAAAATGGTAGTGTCAAAGGACTTGGTGGCTTTTTTTTTAAAATTTATTTATTTATTTATTGAATCACCATGGGAAAGGTTACAAAGCTTTCAGGTTTAGGTCTCAGTCATGCAAATATCAAGCACATTTCCCTTTACCAAAACTTATTTTTTACCATGAAGAACCCCAATAAAACCCCACCCCCCCACCCCTCCCAGTCCCTGTGGGGCAGATGAATTCTAGTTAACACTCTATCTGCTTTGATTAGATTCATTGTTTCAATAAAAGATTCACCACTATTATTTAGAGTTTACTCCCCCCCCGAATCAGACATGCTGACAAAGCATTGTGAAGTGATTTGCTTTCTACAGCTGGGTTCAAGAATTAAATGTTGGTTTTGGATTTCTGCTATTTTACTTATTGACCCTGGAAGTATTTCTACTGAAAGTCAGATAGTTAAGAAATTGGTTTCTGTGCTCTGGAGTCGTGGCCGTGCTGGAGAACCGCTAGTGGGGGGCAACTGGTGGCCTCGGTAGGGCGTGAAGGGCGGACCGAAACGCCCCCCTTCCCATGAGGTTTTAGTCGCCCCCACATCCCCGGCTCATACCTGCTGTCCACAAGGCTCCCATGCGGCCGCCATCTTTCTTTCCAGAGAGGAGAAGGTGACTGGGGCAACACCCTTTCCCCTCCAGACAGACCTGATGGCCTGGATTAACACATAGTCCGTTCACTTTTCTGCTCCAAGCTGCTGGGTTCTGCATTAAGTCCTTGTGCTTCTGGGGCCGTGGCCGTGCTGGAGAGCCGCTCGCGGGGGGCAACTGGTGACCTCGGTAGGGCGTGAAGGACGGACCGGAACGCCCCCCTTCCCATGAGGTTTTAGTCGCCCCCACACCCCTGGCTCATACCTGCTGTCCACAAGGCTCCCATGTGGCCGCCATCTTTCTTTCCAGAGGGAGTAGGGCAGAAGGGACCAACACCCTTTCCCCTCCGGGCAGAAATGATGGCCTGGATTAACGCATAGTCCTTTCACTTTTCTGCTCCAAGCTGCTGGGTTCTGCATTAAGTCCTTGTGCTTCTGGGGCTGTGGCCGTGCTGGAGAGCCTCTCGTGGGGGGCAACTGGTGACCTCGGTAGGGCGTGAAGGACAGACTGGAACGCCTCCCTTCCCATGAGGTTTTAGTCGCCCCCACTCCCCCGGCTCATACCTGCTGTCCACAAGGCTCCCATGCGGCCGTCATCTTTCTTTCCAGAGAGGAGAAGGCGACTGGGGCAACACCCTTTATCCTCCGGACAGACCTGATGGCCTGGATTAACGCATAGTCCGTTCACTTTTCTGCTCCAAGCTGTCGGGTTCTGCATTAAGTCCTTGTGCTTCTGGGGCCGTGGCCGTGCTGGAGAGCCGCTCGCGGGGGGCAACTGGTGACCTCGGTAGGGCGTGAAGGACGGACCGGAACGGGTGGCTTTTTTTTTTAACGTTTTTAATTGGATCACTGTGAGATAAACCCTTACAAAGCTGTTCATGATTTTAGTCATACAGTATACCAACACCCAATCCCCCCCACCAGTGTACATTTCCCAGCACCAGTGTCCCCAAGTTCCCTCCCATCACCCCCTACCTGCTTCTATGGCAGGCACTTTTCCTCTCTCTCTCTCTCTCTCTCTTCTCTCTCTCTCTCTCTCTCTCTGTCTCTCTCCTTTTGGGATTGCAATACTGATACTGAAAGGTTAACAAGAAAATTCCTTTTCCTACTTTTAAACCTCAGATTTTATCCAGAGTGAGCATTCCCAGCTACTATTGTCATACCGGTCTCCTCTCTATCTAACCTACCCTCAACCCCACACACACTTGTGCTTAGTTCCAACCACTGACCATTCCTCCTAGCCCTCGTTTTCCCTGGCCATGATATTGGTCTTCTACTATATTTAATATACCACAAATGAATGCAGTCATTCTATATCTGTCCCTCTCCTTCTGACTCATTTCACTCAACATGATACTCTGGACGTGGTGACTTTTTATAAAACAAAACAAACTTTTTGTTTGTTTTCAGACCACATCTGGTGATGCTTAGGGGGACCATATGGGGTGCTGGAGATTTAACCCAGATTGGCCACAGGCCAGGCAAATGCCCTACCTACTGTACTATCTTCCCAGTCCCAAAATGAACAAACTTACCCACCACAAAGTTCAACAGTCATACTCCTTGGCATTTACCCAAAAAGGATGAAATATAAGAACTTATATTTAATGTTTAGAGCAGCTTTTACTCAGCTCCTGGGAGAGAACAAGACAGAGTCTCCTACCCTATGCCTGACTGTCTCCACCAGGGCCCAACAGCTGAAGACCACCGAGGCCCAGCCAAGGCCATGCTGGGAGCACACTCCACACACTTGGATGAGCCTCACGCATAAAAGAACTGACAGAGGAACCCAGGTGTGTGGGACCCGGGGCTGAGATCTCCAAGCCTGTACAGTTTGGGACTGGACCTGCCAGTAACTAGACAGTTACACCCACCAACTGCCGTGTAACTCCAACAACGGCCAGGATCCAGAGATCATCACACTCAGCTCCTGGGAGAGAATAAGACAGAGTCTCCTACCCTATGCCTGACTGTCTCCACCAGGGCCCAACAACTGAAGACCACCGAGGCCCAGCCAAGGCCATGCTGGGAGCACTCTCCACACACTTGGATGAGCCTCACGCATAAAAGAACTGACAGAGGAACCCAGGTGTGTGGGACCCGGGGCTGAGATCTCCAAGCCTGCACAGTTTGGGACTGGAAGGTAGCTGGAAGGTAACTAGACAGTTACTGGAAGGTAACTAGACAGTTACACCCACCAACTGCCGTGTAACTCCAACAACGGCCAGGATCCAGAGATTATCACACTCAGCTCCCGGAATGCGAATGCGGCCGCGCAACATCTTATCATCTCATTCCTAATTTGGTCAAACTGGCAGGCTACCAAATGTAACATGCCCACATGGCAGAGTCTGGCAAACTCCCCGTGGTATACCCAATATGCCAAATACCAGTAACAATGATGGGTCTCATTCTCCTAACCCTGAAAAAGCCTTGAATATGGCACTTTAAAAAAAAAAATCTCAGGGCTAGGACGAAGAAGACGTTACTGGCACCTGCTCGAGGCAATCGACGAACAACAGGGTGGTCGTGATCGTGATCGTGATAGCAGCTTTATTCATAATTTCCAAAACTTTAAAGCAACAGGATATATCTTGGTAGGTGAATAGATAAATGAATTGTGGGACAGCTGAACAATGGGACAATTAATTCATCACTTAAAAATTCATGAAGAGACATCAAAGAACCAGACCCAGTTAAAAAGTCTGTATATCATATGATTTCAAATAAACAGCATGCTGAAAAAGCCAGAATTATGAAGACATAAAGATTAGTGGTTTTCAGGAATTAGAAGGAAAGAAAAGGTGAACAGAGGTAGCACATAAGATTTTTATGATATTATAATAGTGGATACCCAAAACAATATACAATATCAAAAATGAGGGGACTAGAGTGACAGTACAGCAGTTAGAATGCTTGCCTTGCACATAGCTGACCAGATTCAATCCCCAACATCCTGTATAGTCCCCTGGGCAATGCCAGGAGTAGGTCCTGAATGCAAAGGCAGGAGGAAGTCCTGAGCATTGCCAGGTGTGGTTCCCAAACAAAATAAAACAAACAAAAAAACCCCAACAAATTAAAAAGCCCGTCAATAATGAATAGCAGTGGGCTAGAGAGATAATACAGGGGTTAAGGTGATTGCCTTGCATGCAGCTGAACCTGATTTGATCCCTGGCACTGCAATATAGTCCCTGATCATCACCAGGCATGTTCCAACCCCTCTTCCCACCTGTCACTCCCCCATCTCCAGCAATCCAGAAGAAGGAAAATAAGAAGTAACAGTAATGTATACTATGCACTCTTAAAGCTAATGATATGTCCATGTAAATTCAGTGATTGTAACAAATGTATAACTCTGGTGCTAGATATTGATAGTGAGGGAGTTTGTATATATGTGGGATAGGATTTATGAGAACTCTGTTCAAATCTGTTGTGAAGCCCAATCTACATTAAAAATAAAGTCTATTTAAAATAAGACCATCTAAAGTCAATACAAGTAATTCTAAAGATGGAATTTTAATCAGTTATAAAATAATCACTAAGAGTTAACTACAGCTTTCCTGACCATTCAATAATGTTGAAACAGTTTACTCAAAATGAAAATAACCTGATGATACTCAGTTTTATACATTAAATTGGTAAAATTAAGTGATTACCATTTCATCCCTAGTTTCAGTATCTTTGCAAATATTACTGGCAGAGATGATAACAGAAAGGAGAGAAGGAAGAAAACAAATGAGTGTGATGAAAGCAAAGAAACCATATAGAAATAAGAGTTAGAGACAAAGCAAAAAGGGAAGCAAAAGGCACATAGCACAGAGTTGCCACAGACACGGTATGTTAACAGAAGTCAGAGAAAGAATACAGTTCTTGTAATACTAATGAGCAAAGCATAGTGCCAGGTATGGAACCTGGGTTGGTCACATGCAAGGTAAATGCTGTACTGATATTATAAGTTTATACATATATATATATATATATATATGAGTGAAAAGTTTAGACAAAAAAACTGGCCGTAATAATTCAGAAAACATTATGTAACTCTTCTTATACATAAATGATAGCATAGTAAAAATATTTAAAGTAGCTTTTCAAGAATTATGTATATAATTAGATGTTGTGCAGTTGTCAGGCACTGAGGACACCTACAAAAAAATGAAAGAAGAGGCACCATATTTATTATCAGTGAATATTTCATCTTAAAGAACATTTTTTTCTGCAATAGATTAAATAGACTATGAAGAATAAAACAGCAAGGTGAATAATAAAATATTTATTTAGAGCTGAACATGTAGCAGCTAACTTGTCTCATCAAGGAATGTAAGGTTTTTTTTTCTGGGTGTGAATTATGGTTAAAAAAGTAACAGAGATCCAGAAAGGAATGGGTTACTTTCAGTAAATCTCAAGAATGTTTGCAAGTAAACGCCATTCTTTAGTTACTTTTTGGTAAAAGGTCACCACTAGTGATTTTCTAGTACAATTCCTACTGTCAGTCTGGTCTTTCCTATTTTTTGCTGGAGAAATGATGATATGTGTTTTACTCTTAGAAGTTTTTCCATTCAGAGATTTTTAGGGTTACATGACATTATATTTATTATTATATAGTATTAATTATATATACGCACTATAAGTATGTTTCAAGATTTGGTAATAGACCATTAAAGATGCAGAATACTTTTTTTCTCACATCATTTGCTCACATAACTTTAGCTTTCATTTCTATGATGATATATACAAAATCGCATCTCAGAAAACACACTTTCTTTCATAAAAAAAATACTAACAGTTTAGGTGACAGGGTTAAACCAGAGTTGCTGGTATTGTTGCAAAGATATAATGGGTCCCCACCACCAAAGTGTCCATGATCATTCTCCCATTCCTATGTCTACTCTGGTGCAGTGTTCCTTGTATCTTGTCCCTATCCCCATAATTTGTTAATTAAAAGTTATAGTTTTTGTGCTTACTGAAGAACCAGACATTTTAATCAAAAGACCTAATCAGATTGTTACCTGTTCTACCAAATATTTTCTTTCTTTCTTTTTCTTTTATAAATGGAATCACTGCTAGGCACACAATTACAAAGTTGTTTATGATTGGGTTTCAGTTCTACAATGTGGTCCCTTCACCAGTGTACATTTCCCATCCCTCACCTTCACCAATTTTCCTCCCATCACCCTGCCAGCCCAGTCTGTCGTCTCTCTCTCTCTCTCTCTCTCTCTCTCTCTCTCTCTCTCTCTTTCTCTCTCTCTCTCTCCCTCCCTCCCCCCCTCCCTTTTTCTTTTGGGCACTATGGTTTACAATACATCTACCAAAGATTTTCAAATAGATATTCTGTGGTATTTTGACAATCAATGTATATAAAATAGTATAAAATAGAACTTTATCACATATTTGACCTCTATCTCTACTTCCATTTTTGTTCTCTTGGATATTTTTTGAAAATGCTATATTTCTCCTTTTTCTTTCCTCTTGAACTTTGCATAATGAAAGTGTAATTGATGCTCTTGCTTAATGCTTATGCACAATAACCTAATTCTTATTTTATTAAGTTATTTATTAGTTGGTTAGATGTTATACTGTCTTCTCAAATGATGCATGTTAATTGTGCTCAATTAATTCTTCAGAAATGTAATATTTTGTATAGTATAGAGCTCTAATATTTTAAAATAAAGGTTTAATATATATTATTGAATCAGTAAGATATATAATATATCTTAATAATAATAATAATCTTTTAACCATTATTTATTACAGAATTATATATACAAAGCCAAAGCATATTTAAGGTTTTTATTATTATTATTTTTTTTGAGATCACTGTCAAGTTTAGGTTTACTTGCCTTGTCTTCCAAATGCAAATCTAAAAGGCGCAGGTATGCCACAGGTGCAAATGCATCAGCCGAATGCATAACAACTTCAGATGAATCCCTGAAATATAAAAATTCTTAAGTATTTACCTACTACCTATATTGTGGAAATCATTTCTACTAGTGACTAAAAGAGACCAAAAACTGTCATCTAATATTTATTTCCTTTGGAATACAATATGTAGTGATTAACAAATTTTATTAGTAGTTCATTATCTGAGGAAAGAATCATGAACACTAACCTTTCAAGAAAAAGTAATGAAGCTTTCATCTTTATGAGGACACACAGTTCAATTTTCAGGTACACTTAAAACATCTCTGAACAGTGTTAAGTTTTAGAACTCCTATTCAATTTCACTTTCACAAATTTGCTTGATATGGGCTAACCATTAAACAATAGTACTTTATCTTCATTATTCTTCTCATTTTCAAGAGGTAATTCATTCAGTGTTACACAAAAATCTCAATTATCCCTCACAAAAGCAATACTAGTGATGGTTTTAAGCTCTAGTTGAACTCTTCACACTGCAATATCATTGCTATTAAAATTGACGGTGTGACATAGTAATTACCACAATCAGGTAAAATGGTATCAACTACTTGCTCGTGCCATATGGATACATGTAAATTAGTTCAACTTTTATCAAAAGTATACTGTAAAGTATACATAAATAATTAAGATTTTGTGTGAAATTCCAATAGCTATTTTATTGTTATTTATTAAAATAATAATCTTTACATTTCAATTAGAATTTAAAAAAATGTTTCTTATTTCTTTAATGCCTCAGGAACTTGTTCCATTGCTTATAATAATATATGTTAATAGCCTTTAGCCAGGATAGTACAGAAAAATAAATTTCATTTGTTTGTTTTATTTTGTTTGTTTCTGTTTTGGAGCCACACCCAGCAATGCTAGAGATTATTCATGGCTCTGCACTCCATGATCACTCCTGGTGGGGCTCAGGGGACTACATGTGGTGCTCAGGATTGAACTCAGGTCTGTCACATGCAAGGCAAATGCCCTACCTGCTCTGGCCCTGAAGATAAATTCCTACTTCACTTGACTCTTTGTTACTGAAGTAATATATTTTTAAAAATCAACTTTTGTAATGTAAACTTGTTTGCAACAAGAAAAAAAATACTTTGCCCTACAATGTTATATTTTTATGGGAAAAATCTGTTTTATTTTCACTTTAGGATTAGAGAAAGAGGAAAAAGAAGTTTGACAAAAAAAAATCAACTACACTTTATGAATTGCTATCAAATATATATTATTATGTTTATAAAACACTGATAATATTAAGATAGCCCCTATGACATAAAAAGAAAATAATAGAATAGAAATAGAATCATTAAAGAGGCAGAATCCATTGTACATATGTTTAGATGTGTATCAACTAAGATGCTTCCAGTATACAGGGAGGAATGGAAAGTGATGAAGAGTTCTTGCTTTTGCTTTATGCTACACACCCACTCTTTTTTTCTTTCTTTTTTTTAAGTCTAGTGGTTTTATTTCTCCATTTAACCCAGAGTTGCCAGGTCTGATCTAGTCTTGATTCCTCAGTCAGATTTACATTCAAATTTCTATCAATACTCATACTCATATTAAATTACAATCTCTTGGTTCCTGAATTCAGCATTGGAAACTGACCATGAGCCTTAGTTATGCCCAATCTTTGTACCTTGGTTTTGATATCTATGGTTTGCACTAAAAATATAACTAATGTGAACTAATGCTATGTCAGTAGAAAGGGTTTTCAAACTCTCTATTATCAGTGCATGGCCTTTATTCCCTCAAGAAATAGAAGGTTGATAGAAACAGCTCACTTAATTTATTACTGCATTCTGAATTGAGATTATTATCTAGAGAAAATAAGTACATTCTGAACACTAAATGAAGAGAAAAATGGTTTTCATGACTTCTATTGTCTATAATCTCTAACTGACTAATACCATTTCACTTATGAAACTATGTCAACAGATTAGATCTCAAATGAAGAGTTTTTAAACAATAAAAACACAAATTCTTTTTTCTAGTGCATAAACCTAAAATGGAACTGGGCTTTCAAAGTTCTTTGGTTTTTGAAGACCTCATGAACTTCTCTGAATCCTAAATTTAGGCTTTACTGGAATATTATAGTAATCCAAATACAAGTGTCACCAATTATGATGCAGCAGAAATGCTTTACAGTTGCTGCCCTCCTTCTTTGCGTATGCTAACATAATGAGTCTCTTAAACACCGAGACTTTCTACACTCAGACACTATCAATGAGTTGCCATAACTACAACTTCTAGGGAGTTAAATGGGAATAACCGAGACAGATCTGAGTCTTTTTACTGTTGTCAGGTTCTCCAGATGTGAGGTCAGACCCTACTTATTCATTTCAAAATAATAGCAGTTTTAAAACAATAAATTATTTAAAAAGAATAAAGTTTTAAGACTCTGATATCTCTCAATAACCATGAGTGTTTGTTCCTACCTCTCACCTGAAAAGACAATTGTAAATAGTTATTATCCATGTACAGAACCTTATCCTTACAAACAACTACTAGTGTCATTTCTGTGATTCCATTTCTCTGTTATCCACAGACAGCCCTAGGATTTTTCTTTTTCCTAATGGTTTTGGGGCCACATCTGGTGGTGTTCAGGGTTTACTCCTCTTACTCCTGGCTCTGCACTCTGGGATCACTCCCGGTGGGCTCAGGGAACCATATAAGGTAAAAGGGATTGAACCTGGGTCAGCCATGTGTAAGGCAAGCACCCTACTCTTTATACTTTATCTCTAGCCCCAGCAAAGAATAGTCTTAAGCAGCACAATTAGATTAGTGGTTAACTGAAAAATGAATAAGAACAAAAAGATGGAGGCTTCTCTGTGTTCTCAAGTACATACCCATATGTTAGCACTTACCACTTATATTGATTTGCCTGTTTATTCCGTTAAAGGAAGACCTCCTACAGAGTATGGTAGCAGCTTGCAGAGTTCCACCCACATAATTTGCCTCAGTAAATGATTATTCAGTTGAACAGTATGGCTCATTCTGGCACTAGAGGCTTTTTATATACCTCCCTTGGTACTTCTGTCTTCCATACCATGACTAATTCCCCTCATGCAATTGTTTCAATCAGACTTAGGCTTCCTTGTCTACAAAATTTTAAAGTCAAAAAGATTCAACTTTTCGGCATAAAGAACAATAAATAAAAACAAGAGTTTCTGTATGTGATGTAAATTCATATATATCTTAAAATTATAGACTGTTCTAGACTTCTGTATTGCTCAAATTTTCAAATAAATAAGAAAAGTACTATTCTGTGGCATCTTCCCTTAAATGTGCTGGCTCCCCCAAATTTGCATTGGATATAATATTTAATAAATATTTGCCAAATAATTATTGAATAATAATTGCCAAATTGTATTTGCCAAATATTTTGCCATATAATTAAGGGAAAACGTTAAAAGAACATTAAAAAGTGGGCGAATGTAGGAATAGTTCAGGGTCTTTCCCTGTAACTCTTGGCCAATCTTGCTGTTGGTTCAGTATAAGGGTCTGAGGATATGGTGCTACAGGCCAGGATGCCAGGAGGTTTCCTGGATCACCCTGGTAGTGTCTGGGGAACTCTAGGGGCCACACTCATTGGTATTGGGGAGATCATGTGGCACTGGGGAGTGAACTGGGTTTGGCCATATGCCTTGGCCTCTGTATTATTCCTCTGGCCCCAAAAGACTCATCTATTAATGTTGAAAATACTCAAACTGTCCATTCAATGCAGGATTCTCATACTTCATCAAATGACATTTCTGAAATTCATTCTGACAATCTTTTCCAAAATGCGTAACAGCTGAAGAAAAGCAGATAAAGTGCTCTTTTAGCATATGCAAAACACAACATAAATTAGTGTATGGATAATAATGTAATAAACTGATGAAAGTTCCTGTTTCTCACTCTACTATTTTTAACAATTTATGGCAAAGAATTGCACTACTCACCATAAACTGAATTCATTTAAAAACAAAGTTGAAATGTAAAAACAACTCCAAGTAATTGAGGAGAAATATTTAGTATTACCATTCTAAGTTGTTAAAACCAAGAAAGAAGAAAAAGAGGATGGTTTTAATGGAACCCACAGGCTACTGATGTGGCAGTTTATCAAATGTAGCTGTAATGAAAGATAAATAATATAGGCAATTCACACTTCATGAAAGGATAAAAGTGTCAGTGTGTAGGTACCAGTTTTACTGCAGGCCATAATCAGCAAGTAAACGAAAGTGCAATGTCTAAAAAGTTTATAGCCTTCTATGAAGGCCTCGTCTTGTCAGGTATTGATTTAGGTATTCAGACGACTTCACTGGTATTAAACAAATTGAGTGTTTGTGAACTTAGAGGACATGTTCTATTTTTCCCAACAAAACTTGCCTCAAGCTTAATGCTAAGTTGCTTCCATCACTTAAATTTAGGAAAATAGAAGAAAATGCTGAGATATCTTACACAATTATTTTCTTCTTAAATAGAGGGCAATCCAAAGTGAATGTTTCATACTCTCCACCTTCCCCACAAACATGAACTCCATACTTCTTAGAAAGCTGGAAACAAGAAGAAGAGAAAAGAAACAGAAAGTTTAAATTAGGCACAAACCAAAAAAACAAACACTGTCCTCCCGTTGTTCATCGATTTGCTCGAGCGGGCCCAGTAACATCTCCATTTTGAGACTTGTTGTTACTGTGTTTGGCATATTGAATATATCACGGGTAGCTTGCCAGGCTTTGCCGTGCAGGCGAGATACTCTCGGTAGATTGCAGGGCTCTCCGAGAGGGGCAGAGGAATCGAACCCAGCTCAGCCGGGCTGGCTGTGCACAAGGCAAACACTCTACTGCTGTGCTATGGCTCCAGCCCAAATTAGGTACAATAGTCACTTAATACTTAATACACTATTTTACCCTTTAATTCTAAAAGATTGCAAATTACAGGAAAGAAGGTTTGTATTTTGGCTTAAAACTTGTTTATAAGAAATATTATCATAACATTTTAATAACCCCCTAAACTTTACATCAGAGATCAACAGTTTTGTAAAGAGTGAGAAATATAGGTTTTAGATATGTCTCTAGATTTGTGTTCAAAGGAAGGCTAAAGAAAAAAGGCTCAAAGTCATTACAAAGTAAATGAAAATTTACAAAATCAACTTGTGCTTCTCCCCTGTCTTTTGACATATGTGAAAGGTACAAAATATATGTTGTGTTTACATTTCAAAAACATAAAAATAACTCTCATTATGTCTGTGAATGAAAAAAGTCAGATATGGTTATAATACTTGTAGTAATTATTAGTAGTAAAATTCCAAGAGTTTTGTGAAATAGTGAAACACTAAATCTGCAGACAAGTTATTAGAGGAAGCACTAACTCTAGTAAATGTAGTGACCAACTAAACTGGAAGTCAAACTAAAAATGGGAAAAAAACCTGTGACTTGCATTTGATATAAGCTGTATTATTTGAAATATCCAGATGCTTGGAATAAAATATTCCCTATGTTGCTTGTACAAGGCTGGAGCAGCACTAGGAACACATTCACTGACTAGCCCATAGATAGTACAGGTGTATGGTGCCTGCCTTGCAACGAAGGTGACCCTGCTCTGAGCCCAGGGTAAGGCTCAGACTATACATGGAGCGCTATCAGAAGTCACTCCTGAGCAGAAACTGGTATAGCCCCTGAGAAGTGCCAGGTGTGGCCTAAGCTCCTTTGTGCCCTTCTTCCTCAACCTTGAACCTGCCCCCCACTACCACCCCAGTTGCCTGATAAGAAAAGTGAAGTTTAGGATCTTGGAGACATTACTTGAGAGAAGTAAGTCATAAAGACGGGATATTTTATAATATGCTACTTATAAGGAAAGCCCCAAACAGGCAAATTGATAGAAAAGGTAGATTCGTGATTTCATAATGCTGAGTCAGGGGGACTAGAAGAAATGTGTAGAAATTGTGTGACTGCTTAGTGGAAACTTTATTTTTACAGCTATCTATAAATTCAGCACTGATAAAATAAGACTCAATGGTCTCCCTCTCATCTATAATATCAGGTCAATTTTGGTCAAATTATTTTCTCTTTTGTTGCTTACGTTTAAGTGATATATAGCTAAGATTGTAAATTTTGCTTTTGTGAAAATCTTAAGGAAGACAAATGAACTGAAAAAAGAGAGAAGAATACAAATTAATTGCCATGACCTGGCTCAATTCATAGCGATAATTTAGGAAAGGAAGTTTGTATACTTCTAAATAGGTGTAAGTTAGGGTTACAAATAGATAAATCCTCTAGTAAAATTTGAATTATTATCATTGTTTTGGGTTTTGGGTCATACCCAGCTATGCTCAAGTCTGATTCCTGTCTCTGTGCTCAGGGATCACTCCTGGCAGTGCTTGGGGAACCATATATGGTACCAGGGATTAATCATTTGTGATACCAGGGTCAGTTGTATGCAAGTGCCTTACCAACTATTATCTCTACTGTCCCAAACTTTAACCTTGAATTAGGCATCATTCTTATCCTTATAGCACCTAATGAAATGGTTGAATCCATAAATAGCCAATACACATCTATAATCATTGACATAAAGCTCGAAGTCATATTTTCCAATTCTATATGAACATGAGTAAAAAAAGAAACCAAAGTTATATAGTAAAAATTTGAAATGCTTTCCATTCTAGCAGACTTTTACTGATATGATCTTGAGAAGTATTTTTACTAAAGCAACTGCTGCTGACGAAGACGGTGAATTCAATCATTGTATTTCCTCTTACTCCTTCTAAAATCTTACCAGAAGGTATTTCAGAAAAAGGCATAAGTCACAAAGATGGAAAACAGAATAGAGGAAGTGACAGACCAACCAAAATTTAGTAGTACCAAGGACATTAAATTCAAAGGTAATAGTGAAGAATTCTGAGAACCAATTCAACTTACATACAGAGATAACTACCTTCCTGTCAGACAAAAAGGTAAACAACTTGCAGACTCATTGAAATAAAGGGAAAAGAAAAGAAGGATTGATAGGTAATCTGTTTAAGAAGCAGTCTGATCTTATATAAACTTTTCTGTAGATTGGCCAATGCTTCTCCTACCCCTGGCAGAACAGAGAAAGTTTATTCTCTGCAGAGAGTGACAAAGAGGAATGAACTTGGGAAAAATGAGACACAGCTAAGGGCAGGGGTAGCACTGCACTGTAGCACTGTCCTCCTGTTCATCGATTTGCTCGAGTGGGCACCAGTAACGTCTCCATTGTGAGACTTATTACTGTTTTTTGCATATCGAATATACCATGGGGGGCTTGCCAGGCTCTGCCATGCGGGCAGGATACTCTCGGTAGATTGCCGGGCTCTCCGAGAGGGACAGAGGAATCAAACCCAGGTCGGCTGCACACAAGGCAAATGCCCTACCCGCTGTGCTCAACTCCCAGAAAAAAAACAAAATCCCAAATTACCTGCAGTATGCCTCCACTTTAGATAATCATCACTTAATCACTTAATCACTTAACTTCCCGTTAGTCGTTGATTTGCTCGAGCGGGCGCCAGTAACGTCTCCATTTGTCCCTGTCGCGTGCTAGTGTAGCCCAATGGCATCTGTTCGCTCCGGGAACATGAAGGGCCTCAAACCGATCGTTCATGATCTTGACGAAGAAGTCTGACCATCTGGTAGGTGGGCGGCCATGCGGTCTTTTGACATCCCGTGAAATCCAGTCAGTAACAGCTCTAGTCCAGCGGTCGTCTTTAAATCTCATTACGTGACCAGCCCATCTGATTTTTGACATCTTGGCAAATGAGACAGCGTCCCTGATTCTTGATCAGAATCCAGCAGGACCGTACTACTGTTCAAGAAGGGAGACATCCATGACATTGGCAACTATTGCCCAATCTGCCTATTGTCTGTCATCTATAAGTTGTTCACTCGAGTCATCCTAAATAGGATTGGCAGAACACTAGATGAAGGACAACCAGGCGAGCAAGCCGGGTTCCGCAAGGATTCAGCACCATCGACCATATCCACATGATAACCAAGCTCATTGAGGTTTCTCGGGAGTTCAAGATGCCGCTCTGTTTAACGTTCATTGATTTAAAGAAGGCCTTTGATTCTGTTGAGACGGAAGTGGTCATGGAAGCCCTAGTCAATCAGGGCATTCAAGCCCAATACATCAGGATCCTCCATGAGCTGTATTGCAGATTCACTACCAGGATCTCACCATTCTACAAAGAAGTGATCGTTGATGTCAAGAGGGGTGCGGCAGGGTGATACCATTTCACCGAAACTCTTCAGTGCCACCCTCGAGAACATCATGCGACGACTGGAATGGGAAGGAATGGGAGTGAAGATAGATGGTTGGAAACTAAATCACCTCCGCTTTGCTGATGACATTGTTTTAATAACACCAAACATCAGCCAAGCGGCACAAATGCTGGCCGACTTTGACCGTGAGTGTGGAAAGGTAGGACTACAGCTGAATCTTACGAAGACAATGTTTATGAGAAACAGCCTCGTTCCTGACGCCCCATTCGCTCTCAACAGAACGACCATCTCCGAATGCAACAGCTATGTGTACCTAGGTCAAGAGGTCAACATGACAAATGACCTGGCACCCGAGCTGCGCAGGAGGAAGAGAGCGGCTTGGAACGCCTTCAAGAACGTCGAAGCAATAGTTAAGAAGACCAAGAACCTCCGGCTCCGGGCACATCTCTTTGATTCCACTGTTCTTCCTGCATTAACATGTGCCTCAGAGACCTGGGCCCTACGCAAACAGGATGAGAACGCTATTCAGGTCTCCCAAAGAAGAATAGAAAGAGCTATGCTTGGAATATCACGTTTCACTCAAATGAGAGAAAGTATCCGGAGTTCTGACATCCGTCGACGATCAAGAATCAGGGACGCTGTCTCATTTAGATTATCATAATGAAAATAATAATTCTAGCCACAGAATATAATGACTCAATTCTGATCCACTAGAATTGCAAAGTACCATATAGGAAGAGAAGAAGGGAAAAGGAATATACATATGAGATGAAAACAAAGGGATTAAAGATAGCAAAATCTGCAGAGTCTAGTGTAGAGGCCAATAGATAATGCTGACATTGGGAAGAAATTACGAAGTAATGCTAGAAACACGTAGTTTAAAGACATGAAGTAAATAGCAACATACCCCGCCAAAGAGATGAAAAAAAGATGGTGAAATGGGAGGAGGGAAGACTCAGAAGTAGATTCAATACCAAAGTTTCAAGAATCATTTCAGAATATGAATGCTAACAAACACTTTACATTTTCAAATATATATATATATATCACTGCTACTGTCTACCTATATCACTGTCACTGTCCTCCCACTGTTCATGGATTTGCTTGAGCGGGCCCAGTAACTTCTCCATTGTGAGACTTGTTGTTACTATGTTTGGCATATCAAATACGTCATGGGTAGCTTGCCAGGCTTTGCCGTGTGGGTGAGATACTCTTGGTAGCTTGCCCGGTTCTCCAAGAGGGGCGGAGGAATTGAACTTGGGCTGGTCTGGCCAGCCAAGTGCAAGGCAAACTCCCTATCGCTGTGCTGGAGCGATATA